GCGAATCCAGGTACTCGCCCCGATTTACCTATTTGGAAGAGAGTTTTCTGCATACCTGGGAGGGGAAGACCGTGACAAAATTACTTCATTACTCCTCGACCAGTAAAACGTGCTTTCTCAGTTTTGTGATGTAGTACTCATCCGTAGTGTGGCTAGCGCTCAAGATTTTTTCTGCGACGAGATTTACAATTCGAGTTTTGTGTGTTCCCGTTTCAAAGCCTTGTTCCAGGGGAAAAGGGGATTTTGATCCCCCGTGCCAGGGGAACGGAGGATAAAAATAAACGATTGATTGATTGATTCGTTCAATCATTCCTGGTGACCAGGGAAATTGATCAACGGAAATGGCAACGGCGGGAGAAAACTTGTGTCCATATTAGAAAGGAAAAGTGAGCGAAGGACGAGACTTATTTCTTTATCTTCACTCAATGAGCGCCACCTTATCACGGGTGATTCTATCAAAACTAGACGTCGAGTAAATTAACGCCCTATATGAGCAATGCAGACGGTCACTGAGAACATAATTTAAGCATTGAACTAGCGATATTCACATAAAAAAATAGGGTGGCGAAGGTGACGTATTTGACCAATTAATTGGCCAAATACGTCACTTTCAGAGGAGCTGTCAAGAGTATTATCTCTCGTCACAGTCACATTAATAACGTAAGATCCTTCCGCTCCTTCAAAAAATCATGCATGTTAAAAAACTTTTTTTTTTTTTTTACACTTTATCAAGCACGACAAGTATGGAACACGTAGCACCATCTAGGGGAAGGGGGTATACATTTCTGTCTGTCCAGCCCTCTTCTTCTGTCATTAGCCCGAGGTGTTTGCATGTATATATGCCAAGTAAAAACGAAATGACATTAAAGTGTCCGGTCTTCAACAAATACGCGGGACCCATTCGACGAAACAGTTTTAGGCTGCTGTGCTGAATTTGCTTTGGGCCAGACCCATCATGTATTGGCAATGAATAAAAATTTTCCGCTCTGTTCTTTCTCTTAAAAGTGCCTCTGGCCACAATGTGCCTAGCCCCACCGCGTAATCTGCCTCCGTGAATGGGTCTTTCTTACAGGGTAGAGAGTAAAAATCGAAATGATTTAAATCGTGTTTTAAATCGTGATATAAACCGGACCGGTTATACTACGATGATTTGAATCTAACTATTTCAGCGAGAGATATCCGGGAAAATGTTTTGTTTGCCATTTATCTGTATACTTGAGGCTTTCTTCCTATGCGCATTTGTTTATGTTTAAATAGAATAATCATCGAGGAAGAAATATTTATATCAGGCTCCAAACGAGCAAAAAGCAGATCTCTCTTCGCAGCAGTCGGAGCGCTGAGTTTTCCTTCTTCCTTCCACTTCGCTCGCCAGTTACGTAAAGCAAATCAGAACGCAAAAAAAAAAAAAAGAAAAAAAAAAGAAGAAAAAAAGAAAGAAGAAAAAACACGAAAACTATATAGAAAAGTAATCTCCAATTAAAGTCAAATCAAAATAATAAAAAAATCTCTGTTATATATATAAAAAAAAAAAACTGTTGTTGGTTTAGTAACGCGGGCTTGCGTCAATAAAATGTCTGCCTGGAGTTCACGGCAAATATTTTATGCTCATTATCATCAGGGGTCGGAAGGATGTTCTACTTCGATAAATACATCACCGCGCGCGTTGCACTCTGGGAGCCCGTGGGCCAGGAGCGGAGCGCTTTTGCTTGCCACGGATTCTCACAATGACTAACGTCGCACTACGCCGCGAGGAGGCGCCCCGAGTTTTTAAATAAGTCTGTTAATCCGCCATGTTCAAAGATAACATCTTGTGATACTAAATCACCATTTCCGAGTGGCATTGATCTAAATAAAATTAATCTGATTTAATTCAAATAAATGAAACTTTTCTTTTCGTTTATGATCTTTTTTTTTTTTTTACCCTGTCTTGTTTTAGTTTTCAAATTTTGGGAAACTATTGTTCGTTCATCTCTAAGGTGGCACGAATTCGAGAATTGATGTTCTCCACAAGTTTAACGTGGGATAGAGGTTGATTTTAGCGTAGTTTTATCCCGTGAATCCGAATATCATGGTCGTTTTCCCCGCAGATGTGACTAAACGCAAGAACACACGAAAAGCCTCCGACCAGTCGTGACGTCATAATTCGTTATCAGCGTACAACACTAGTAAAATCCAGACCACCTGGAAATGTTAAAAGTTGGTTTATAGGTTACACATACACGTGTTCGTTTCCGCACATGCAAATGTTTCCCGATAAAAAAAAAGGAGGGGGGGGGGGGGCAAAAGAAAAGAAGAAACCGATTGAATTTGTTGTCTCTTTAAACGATTTGGCAACTCCAGACAGGAGTCCTCTGGGGACAGAGAAGGTTAAACACCTCCGACGTGGGACGAGGACATACACGTTTCGCGAAGTTACCAAACAAGGATCCCCGATGGGGAAAGAACCGCCGGTTGTCCGGGGGACAAAGGTCGGTTCCCATGGCGATGCATAAGAATAATGGCCTCGTCTGGGCGCCTTCGCAAGACACCGCAGACATCGCCGTCGATATGCGCGGAGGTAATGCGCGCTCCCCGATGTATAGACCAACACGCGGCCCTGACGTCACGCTGCTGCGGTGGCGCTGTCGACGGCACTGCGCATGCGTAGACGCCTCACTTCACGCGAGTTTGGTTTCTGCGCACGCGCAGTGCCCACACCTGGTGTGGGCAAACGCGGGCTTGTTTGTAAACAGCGTGTCGGTCTATACGTGACGCGTTCACTGCGCGATCAAGTTAGCGCCAACACGACATGTTCGGCGCTTTTTTTTTTCCTCGGGTTTTAACGCCAAATGTGTTTTATCAGCCGAAATCCAAAAGCCGACTCGTTTCAGCGTCACGCATAAAGTCATATATAAAGTATATAAATGAGACTCCGGGGCCCATTTCCTTACGTGACTTTGAAATCAGGGCGTCATGTGACATCACGAGGTCGAGTGACTGTGACGCAAGGTGACAAGTAGGCAACTCGCTTGGCTCCTGCGCAGATGGTCGGGGTTCGAATCCCGAAACCGCTTGTCGTATTTTTCTTTCTTTATGTAAGTAGTAAATGTTAGAAATTGGGAAAGCCGCGCAGCTTGTTCATGCTTAGAACGTATACTTCCAGAACGAACGAGGTAGAATGTTCTAGACTCTCAGGGAAGGCTCGAAAGAAGCCGCGCCGCGACGTACGGAGTCAGTCTCGCCCCAGCGCTCGATCGTGCTGTTACGCCGCCATCGACGCTAGCCGTCTTCTATGTTGTTTTGGGCACAAGTTCGCCCCATTAAACGTTTAGTGTCATTCAGTCATACGTCGTCTCATCAATTTTCATTCGTGGCAATATGACCTCATGGCGTCACGTTAGTCGTGACACCGCGTGATGTCACAGTCATGTGATTTCACGGCGTCACGTGACATCGTGTGACACCGTCGCGTCACGTGAGGGCACATGGCAAGTGCCCAGCTGGTTCACAACACATTATGTGCTCCTCGGTCTGTGTCAGCAATTTCAAGCCAGTGCGGAGCTGCAATCAGGTCCCTTCCGAAGTGATGCTTGCGCGGGTCTAAGCCGGATGTTGTACATTATGTCTCTTAGACGCTTCCGCACCAAAGAAGGCCATATCTTGATGTGGCCATATGGTACTCAACAAGAACAATTACCCCAAGCCTGAGGGTACGCCGATGTTTCGCCAAAGCCAACAGCACCCGCAAGAAGAAGAGTCGCTTAGCGTAACGTCTGCCACCACTCCGAGGCTTTGAGGAGGTTAACTTCTCTCGAAGATCAAGAGGAAACGATGCGGAAGGTCGCCGTCTGCAAGAGCTCGCCAGCGCTGGAGAAAATGGCGGCAAGAAACGACGCCTGCGATTGTCATGGGAGCTAAGTTGATAGCACAATTGTGCCCTCTTGCTTGGCTGGCGGGCAGGATATAAAGGCGTGCGCCATGACGTCAGCGACGCTACGCCCATTCGGTTACAGATGTACCCGTAGGTGTTTCGCTGCCATCTGCTCGGCTCGCGTATCGTGTGCGCTCGCGAAAACGATACCGGAAACCCGACGGCAAAGCCAAAGAACATCGCGGCTGCTTTTATTATTTTTTCTTTAATTTTTTTTTTTTTTTTTTTGACAGAACACCAATTTAGTAAGTATTCCCATAAGATCGGTGCTCTCGTTTTTCTTCTGCCTAGGAACAAGATGTCAACAAGAATTACCATCCCTGCGTTTTCTGGGGCTTTTTGTTTCCCTTGCTGCTCAATTTCCTTCGCAATTCCAGCTGCAATGCGCCGATTAATAATCATTGCAAACGGCAACCGCAGTCCCAAATGCTTGCGTCATTCGTGACGCAAGTCTTGCGTCACGAACGACTTGCGTCATTCGTGACGCAAGTCGATAGATAGTATACTCTATCAGAGCTTTCGTGTACCCTAGGAGTGCTGGAGGGAACATCACACTTTTGCACGCATAAACTCCCTAGTGTTTGGGGAAGGGGAAGGCATACAAGAGATTCCATTGTGATAGGGCCCGCTGATAACATGCCAGATTTACAATTTTCAATGAGGACCTTGGAACGTGTGTACGTCAATCAATGCGAAAGAGAGAGAGAGAGATAAAAAAAGAAATGCCAGTGTCTGCAGGAGTTCGTGATTCAGCGTGGCATTTAATATTTTCCAGCAGCTGTGGAGTGTTGTTTGTGAAGGTTTTTTTTTTTGCTCACATTGTGACTAAGATGAATTGTACAGGGCAGAGATATTGCGCACGGAGTGAACGGGCATGAGTAACCCTGACTCAACCGGGAAGAATGCAATATGCGAACGCGTGTTTGCAGTGACGTTGCCCGTCGCCTCACTGACATTCGTAGCTGTGCACAGATGCGTTCTATTCCGTCATTGCACAGATGCGTTCTATTCCGTCATTACACAGATACAAAATCTGAATAAGGGTAGGCAGTAAAATCAAATTTGAAATAAAGAGATGACAAAGCAGAAATACTTTTGCTGACAAGGTTGATTTATTTCAATACTTTCAATGTGTGTTACTGCCAAAACCAGTTTCCAAACTGTTTTTCTTTTCCCCCCCAAAAAAAAAAAAAAATTTGAGACGACAATAATAAAAGCATCGTAGGAACTCGCCAAGTTAAAAACGTATTTGAGTCACGAGTCAAAATCACTCAGGATTAAAATTTGCGTTCCAACAAAGTAAGACTAATCCCACGAGAGAGAAGCTGTGTCGAAAAGTGCCACAAACTTCAACTAATCTCTAAAGCTGTCCGTAGCATTCCAGTAATACAAATATTTTCATTGTCTCTACAATAAATAGGGGCAAATAAATTAGAAATTCACGCAGTATGTACACATGCAAAAAATTGTAAAAAAAGCTACACTCCTAAAAAATGACATGGAATGGCAGAGTCAAAGCAAAAACGTTTGCAGGAGTAACGTAAAAAGAGCACAACGAAGGGTATCACACGCGAGAGGAAAATTCGGAACGCTTGTAGATAGCTGTTCCTGTGTCGTTTTCCACACCATTCTTAACCTCACTCAATTACAGGTCCCCCCCAGAAAGTAAAACAAATTACACAATGCACACAAACGAAATAACACTCATTCTATCACAACTACAGAGAAGGGCAGAAGTGCCATAAGCACCATACTATGCGCGGTGCCTATGACCCTCCGAGTCAACCGCAGAAATGCTACAGTTCAACAAGAAGCGCACGTGTAAAGAAAAGGACAGAGCAACAACCTTTCAATGCTCCAGGAATGTGATGCGCCTGGCAGCTCTTGTACGCCGCAGCCCCTAAAGTTCAGATGGGAAGCACACTGGGCAACAGGGCTTTGAACAAGGGCTGCTCGCGGTAATTCTTTCTAAGCCTCAGGGGCTCAAGTTTAGTGTACCAGCACAAATAGAGAACAAATAAGCTTTGAGAAGTGCTTATGAGGAACCGGCCTCACACCATTCATGATATCTATGGCAGACTTCTTTCAAAAGGGAATGCATCCTATTGGGAAGAACTGCAAACGCCTTCTGACTACGACAGGATCTCTGAAATCGCATATGATCAAATTATTGCTTGCCTCCAATACCAAAATGAGAAAAGAACTGTAGCAACTCAGACGGTGGCCATCGTTCGCGCCAATACCGATATTTGCATATGTGACAATAGGAGGCATACTTCCAAATACTTCCGTTACAGCCAATAGGTTTGTCTCCCCCCTGAAAGATACTCCGGCAGAGATCTGGCGTCGCTACGGTGGCCAGAGTCACAAGACTCATTCTCCAGAAAGCCACCGATGGCAGTACCTTGGCAGGAAGTGGGCAATTGGTCCACACGTACACCCGCGAAAGGAAGTAAGGACACCTGAAACACCTCGAGTCTTCGCAGACGGAAAATCAAAGAGTTCTCAAGAGACAATGCGGAATCCCCGCCACTCACGAGAACCAGACGAGCCTGGGCGTCGACTCGGACTGGAGGTTGACAGACTTCTTGCGGCTCTCGTACCTTTGCACGAGTCTGAGCCCGCCGTAGAGCGGAAAGGCGAAAGCTCCGACCCCGACCACGATGACCCCAGCGCACAGGGCTAGAACGCCGACGATCGGAGCCGCGGCGAGTTTCCCGCCAAACACGGCGCCTCGCACGATCTTCCGCTGGAGCGGCTTGTCGGCCTTGTACCTAAATTTACAGCCGAACACACTCAGTTTGCTGTAGTGGTCCCCGAAGAACTTGAGCTGCCGGAATCGGTCCCCGCAGCGGTAGCAGAAATGCGTCTTGCAGCGCGCGCAGTGCATGTGGTCGCAGCCGGTCGTCCGCTGAATGAAAATCTTGCACTTGGGGCACCGCTGGGCGTTCACCTGGCCGTGCGCAGTGGTGCGAGCCCACGCCTTGAGTAGGCGGTCTCCCTTCCGGAACTGGCGACAGGACAGGCCCTCGTGCCAGGGCGAGTGGCACGCGAAGCACCACGGAAGCCCGCACGAGGCGCATAGCAGGGCCGCGCCGTCCAGCCTGGGTCGCTTGGTGACGTAGTTGCAGTGCGGGCACGTTTTGGTCGACAGGTTGGCCGTGCTCAGGAGGCGATGGAAGTGGTCTTTGGACTCGGACGGCAGGCGAGCGCTGATCTCGTCCCGGGAAACGAACTGGTGACACCGGACGTTGCAACACTCGATCTGGATGCTGTTCTGACGCACCCGCGACGCGTAGTAGCGGCGAAGGCAGGGCGTGCAGGCGGGAAACGCGCAGCAGGGCCGCTCGTACAGCGGAACCACTTCGAGGCAGATGCCGCATTCGGCGACGACCCGGAGACCGACCGGAAAATGAGGTTCCGGTTCGTCCGGCGGCGACGCGCCGCTCTCCCCGAAAAAGAGCGTCCGCTCCTGTCCGATCTGGTGCACCAGGACCGGCTGGTCGTCGAGGCCCGCCTCGAGTCCGGCCTCAAAGTAGCGCAGCACCTCGCGCAGAAGGGCGTCGTGGTCGAACGTCTCCGGGTCCACCGCCGAAACTGGCACGCTCACCGAACCGCCGTTGTTGGGGCTGGTCGCGCTGTCGTGGCGGCCCGTCGCGTAGCGTTCTGGGTCAGAGTTCGGGTGGTTCCGGCCCAACTGCGGACACTCCGGGCCGAACGAGATGAAGAAGCACTCCAGAATGAACCGCAGCTGCTCCAGATCGGGTGTCTTGACGCCGCGTTTGTGCCGGGGATGGGCGGCCAGCGTCGTGGGGACCGGATCCATCCCTGCGTCTCTCTGTTCGACGTCGAGATGGATGGATTCGGATGTGGCGATTGCTGGCGGCGGAGACGCTGAAGTTTGCGACCCCCGGCTCGGTGCCGTTGTTGCTAGTGTCGCGGGCATTTGCGGCGAAGCTAGGCAGAGCTGGGCCGTTTTGAGGCGGACAGCTGCCATGTAAACACAGAGCGTTGCTGCGGTTCGACCCGTTCCAGCTGCAGTGAGTGAGCGAATGAGAGAGAGAAGGTGGGCGAGGTGGGTACCGAATGGGAACCAACAATGAGGGAGAGGACCTGCCAGAATGCCGCAAATAAAGGCTGCTGGGTATAGTTCTTCGAGCGCCCGGTAGTCGACGCCACCATCCTGCAGTAGTTGTAGCAGACGGCGGCGTTTGGAAAATGGGGGTGCGACCTCCATGGTGCGACGTAAGCCAAGATTTTTTTAAAGATCGACCTTATAATTGATTTAGGGACGCTTGGGGGACATTATAAAGCAGCTTCAAAAATTTCGGACGTAAAGAAATTGTACAAACAAGCCAATAAACTGAATTCAATGAATCTTTTCACGAAAATGTCTTTAGCCTTTAGGTAGTGCGTTTACAATATTTAAATTTCGCAAGTGTAGGTTTCTGAGGGAGAAACCTACCTACAAAAAGAAAATTACTCTTTTCCATACCCGCGGGAGGAAAACAGAAGCAAACCATCGGGTTGTCGCTGCTACTCACACGCTCGGCAGCTTGGGCGTGCTGGGTCTGCATTGGGGAGTTCATCCCTGAAGATTTTTTTTCTTCATTTTTTTTTAAAGTTATTGTATTATGTGATGGCGTATCTGAAGGAGTAGCAGCACCAACCTGACGGTTTGCTTCTGTTCTCCTCCCGCGCATAAAAATAACAAGTATTTTTTTCGTATTTTTTCTTGGGATCCATACGTACACCGCCCAAAGACATTTTGTGAGTTTTATTGCACGGGTCCATATCACATGAGCGAATGACGTTTTAGTGAACAGCAGTCATTTGAGCGAATCGACGTTTTACCGAATGGCTTGTTTCACTGGAGCACGTGTTAACCCATCCCCCCCCCCGGCCAACCCCTCTTCGCGGCGACAATTTGCGGCGTCTAATTACAAAAATGTTAACCCACCTGACTTACCCATACACTCCGCTTCGCGGCGGCCGAATTCGCTATTGTGACTTTCGATAAAGAGTGGGGCGTGGGATTTCGTTAAAACGTCGTTCGACGGACCATCTGAGTGCCACCCTTGTTGTCCGGAGTAATCCTGTAACGGCCTCTCTGCAGTGTTGCAACTCTTCATTAGAACTATATTACTACTACTACTATTACTGCTACAACTGCTACTGCTACTACACTAATAATAATAATAATAGGAACATGCTACGAACAAAAAGTTAGGGTAAAAACTAGCTGGTGACAATTTGACATAATTTAAGACAAAGCCACGATGCTGGTGAAACACGAAGGATGAACACAACACACAAAGGCTCGAACACACATACTGTAGTTCCATGCCTTAGGAGCCACAAGTCTCCCCAGGTCCTATGCCTGCAGGCTGTCAGAAAGGTAACAAGCCCAAGAAATTTGGCAGCTCACTGTGGAAGGTGGAACTTTGTTGGGCGATTTGAAACAAATACAATATTGGCAAGATCATACGAAAGGCCAAGGCGCAAAATAATGAAGGCGTTTTTATGACGCTAGGAAGGCATGGTACGTGTAAAGCGCGGTAGTATGTCGTCAATCCCCCCCCCCCCCCCAAAAAAAAAAAAAATATATATATATATATATATATATATTTAAAAGACGCATTACCGCTTACATGCACATGTGATGGTAACCACGGCGCAGGTTCGTGCGCTTTTGTGGCGGATTCGGTGGATAATTCCTTATCAATATATTTACTTCCATTGCCTGACTTTTTTTCTTTCTTTCTACTTTTCGTATGTTCATTTATAAATATACAATTCCGCAATCTGGTGTTGTTTGAAAGAAACAATAAACACTCGTTTATTAATCCTTACATTTGTTAAGTTTTTCCATTGTCCCAGTGTCGTTTAATGCTAAAACTTTGGCAGCGCAGTTCAATCACAGTTGAATATACCAGGTTTTCTTCTTGAAAACGTTCCTCGAAGAAAAGCACTTGCACCGTGAAAACGACTGGCTTTGGCCTACAGGCTGCAACGAATGGACGATCAGTTGGTCTGTTTGCACAGAGTTTACGAGAACAGTGGCCTATCGTAACACCGACCAAAACCAGCTTGCATAACGGTCAACAGCTCTTTCTTTGAAATATGTTGGGACAACTACATTTGTAGCGACCGGTAATGTTTATAGGACGTAACGTACAAAGCGAAACCTAAAAAGTTTCGCATTTAATACTTGTGGGGTCATCTAGAGGGAAAAGGAAGAAATCAGCATTGGGGGCTTTCTCCGTCATACAACAGATGGCACTGGGTACGAATGCCCTCAGAATTTTCGGAGTTTCGCGGTTTCGCCAGTTTCGCTCGGTGGCTCAGTTTTGTGCACCGACAAGGTGAAAACGGCAAGGTGGGCGCCTCCTTTGCCCGGCCTACGCACTTACGGCCGTCTGACGTGCTTGGGTGCGGTCCACGCTCGAGGATCATGAGACGCCCAAGGGTGATCGAACGCAGAGGAAGCTCGCTCGAGAGGAGGGACAACAGACACTTTTCAAAAGTGCGCGCCCTCCCCGCCCTCCCCTCCAGTAGCTGCTCGGAGTCCTTCATATTTAATTTTGGGCATTTACTTTGAGCATGCATTGAACGGTAGCGCTGCGTCAAAATTGGGCGCATACTCGGGTTCAAGTACGTTTCACACGATATGCAGCGCTCAGCGTGAACACGTATCCAATCAGTTCCGCATCCCATCAAAGAAGCATGAATGAAGAAATATTGCCTATTTTATTTATGTGAGCATTCTCTACCCCACAAACAATCTTCCTGAAAGCATAGAAGTATAGTCCGGACCACGGGTCCTGACTCTCCCTTTGCTCCATGCAAATTCCGACTGCGTGAGCAGAGGAGCAAGCGGGGGGGGGGGGGGGGGGGGGGGGGGGGGGGGGGTTGATTTCCCAAACTAAAACGAACTCACTCCGGCGGCTCCGATAGGGCAAAACCTATAGCTAACAGCCTTTCTCTCCTCTGCGCTCGTCGAACTCGTTCGAATGCAAGAGCCAAACGCCGGACACCGGCGTTGCGCGTTCTAACTCGCTCGACGACTGCAGTGGAGACAAAGGCTGCTATAGCCTTAGGTCTACCCACTAATCGTTCCAATCAGAGCTCGGCTTTCTGACATCCCCTCTCCTCCTCTTCCTCACTTTCTCGGCGCACATCTGCCTCACCTCCTTTTCTCGACGCGTGGGCTGCAGTGAAAGATACAAGCGCGAGCGACTAGTCTTATTTTACGAACTCGAGGCACCTAAAACTATAAGTTTGTGCGACGTCTATTTCCCTACTAAAGATGTGATAAAAGTTCGTGCCACGCCCCTTTCGGCTTGCGACTGGCTGACGCGCGTCCGCGTCGTCCCGCCGCCGGCGCCTTCGCTGGATTCTGTGCTCCAGATTTTAGAGCGCAGCTCTTAGGGGCCCGTTTCCGGCTTGAGCGGCGTCGCCGTCGGCGTCGCCGTCGGCGTCGGCGTAACCGCGCGGTGCATTATGGGTAAATTTCCCCGCCAAATCTAGCGGAAAAATTTCCCCGCTAGATTTAGCGGAAAAATTTCTCCGCTAAACCTAGCGTAAAAATTTTCCCCGCTAGATTTAGCGGAAAAAATTCCCCGCTAAATCTAGCGGAAATATTTCCCCGCTAAATCTAGCGGAAAAATTTCTCCGCTAAATTTAGCGGAAAAATTTCCCCGCTAAATCTAGCGGAAAAAATTTCCCCGCTAAATCTAGCGGAAAAAATTTCCCCGCTAAATGTAGCGGAAAAAATTTCCCCGCTAAATCTAGCGGGAAAATTTCCCCGCTAAATCTAGCGGAAAAAAATTCCCCGCTAAATCTAGCGGAAAAAATTTCCCCGCTAAATCTAGCGGAAAACTTTCCCCACTAAATCTAGCGGAAAAAATTTCCCCGCTAAATCTAGCGGAAAAATTTTGGTCACGTGACCCGGGGGGTCACGTGACCTGGGGAGTCACGTGACCCCCTCCCGAGGTCACGTGACCTCTGAGGGGGCACGTGTTTGCCCCCACGTGACCCCACCAAGGTCACGTGCCCTCGGGGGGGGTCACGTGACCCCCCCCCCCCCCCCCCCCCGAGAACACGTGGCCCTCAGTACCCTCCCCTCCTCCTCCTCAAGAGCTGCGCTCCAATTCGGCGTTACAGGGAGTGGTAAACGACTTTCACTTTTTTTCCACTCAGAAAGGGGCGTGGCACGAACTCCGATCACATTTTTTTAAAATTATTTTTAGTAGGGAAATAGACATTGCACGACATTTCGATTTCAAGGATGCTAAGATACCGTAGAATGAGTTATCACCAAGAACAGACGATCTCAGGAACGTCTTTAGTGCACCTTTATAGGGGTACTACAACGAAATTTCGTTGCTTATTTTTTTGGTTTATATGTGTTCAAAGGAGCAGTTACACATCGGACACACCAATATCTGGTTTAAAAAGACACGAAAAGGAATTTTAAAACGAATTGAACGATTAGCGAAGAGCACCTGGTGGATGCCGCTAAAGCTTCGTTTGTATAATGCCCGCCTATAGAGCCTTGACAGGTAGTGACGATGACTGTCTCGCCTAGAACTTGTGGGCACCCTGGCCACTCCCCAGCCCAGTTGCCCGACTGCGGGGCACAGGTGGCGAACTTTCCCGCGTGGCGGCGGAATCAAGTCGGCCACGCGCACATCGCGTGCGCCGCCTTGATAAGGCGGATCACAAGGGGCGCACAGGTGCTCGTTGGTTCTGTGTTAGTATTCTTCATCCTGTCATCTATGTCCAATTAAATGTAAATTTTTTTTTTTTTGTTTTTGTTGAAACCGTTCACCTTTGTGTTATTCCTCCGGGTCGGGTAAGCAGCAAGGCAGACCGACCCCAAACTATACATGCTTTCAAGTTTGAACTGGACATCATTCCGACAGCCCTCCGGCAAGCACAAGAGAAGAGGGGAGGGAGCAACTCCCCTCTCACCGGGACTCTCTTTTGTGTGTCCCAGGCGTCGCTATTCTCCCTTTACAAGGTTATAGAAGATTAACCCGTCACTCAAAATTTGTACAAAAA